AAGTCTGTTGAATTATTTAGAAATCTCTTAATGGTGTAAATATTGTTAGTGCTGCAATAAATATTTTCAGCTTGGTCTGGAGATGATCAGCTGAGGATCTGTTGCTTGTAGGACTTAAATTAAGATCTATTTAAGGCTTCCTGCTGGCCACAAAATAATTACTTAGACTTGCTAATGCCTGAGTCTGTTAGACTTAACTAGAAGGAGAGTTTTTTGTTTCCTTAAGTTGGAAAACTTGATTTTTCTAATAGGAATTTCATTTGTGATTGCTATTAGAGGGGATTAGAGTACAGTTGAAAAAGTTGAAAATTTTCATTAATCTAATTTCTTTAAATTCACAATTTTTTTTCATATTGATAAGTCTGGGACTATAGCAAGACAGATCATGGCCACATTTACACAGAATATTTCATTACACATTTTCTTTTGCAGAGCAGGTGGAGACAATGGGGGTTAAGTTACTTGTCCAGGGTCACACAGCTAGTAAATGTTCAATACATAATTTCTTACCGTCTTTCACTGTAGAGAATGCCAAAGCTTATTTCTTCTTTTGGGGTATACCCATATTTTAATAAGGGTTTTTCCCCTTCTTTTTCTCAAAAACATGCATGTACATTTTTAGTTATCACACTAAAATTCTGGAGTTCCTTTTTTAAAGGATAAGAATAAAATCAATTTCCCTTTTTCCCTTACCTAGTTTCCTTTTAATCTCTGTAGCTCAGGAACTTATTGTAATAGTCATCAAATCATTAGTCTCCTAAAAGAGCATTGAACACTATGAAATAAAGGAGACTTCTTCTGTTAATTTTTTCTTAGTGTATTTGCAGTTATTTGGAGAGGTGTTCATTTGAAATGATCAGCTGACAAGTCAATTTCAGTAGTGTCATGCTATAAGAATTGTTTCCAAAGTGTGTTGGGATAATGAATGGAACCCATTCTCATCTACTTTCTGGTTCAGTGGTTCACGGGCTTTTTTGGTGTTTCTTTCTCTTTTTCTGGGTGTACAAACTCAAGACTATATAAACTAATGCCATTCTTTTATTGTTCTGTCAACCATGGAGGATGTTGATAATAAGAGGTCTAGAGGATATATCGTATAATGGATAGGGTTATGGGTTTGGAGCCAAACAACCTAGGTGACCTTGGGTAAATCACTTAACTTCTCTTGGTGTCAGTTTACTCACCTGTCAAATGAATGAATTGGAAAAGATAGTCTCAGCACCTTTCCAGCTCTCAATATGTTATCGTGTGATTCTTCTTCTTCCACTGCAAATACTAGTCTTGAGCTAGCTGTACTTCCAGGTTTTCTCTGAAAAGATATTTACTTGGTACAAAGCTAGGGGAAATATACTTATTATGCTTTTGTCTAATCTCCAGGACAAAAGCTGACATTGTGGAATGCAGATTAGTTTCCAAGTTAAAATGAAAAAAAAAAAAAAAACAACCCAACAACAGAGTAATGACTAGAACAATATCTGTGGCCCAAGCAAAAATAAGACAATAGGAAATTGGGGTCAAGTGACTTGCCCAGGGTCACACAGCTAGTAAGTGTCAAGTGTTTGGTATGAGGCCAGATTTGAACTCAGGTTCTCCTGACTTCAGAGCTGGCGCTCTATCCACTGTTTCACCTAGCTGCCCCAACAAAATATTATTTTTTTTACCATTTGTATAGTCCCCCCCCACCCAGTGTTGCATTTAGGAATCAATTGTCCAAATATCCAATTAGGATATTTGCATTTTACTCTGGAGTCAGAGATTTTTGTGATCTAAAATATGGTGGTATTTCCATTGTGAAGTTCTGTGATTTTGCAGTTTTTATGCAAAACCTTTTGTCTTCTAGTAAGGAATTTGATAGGTTGTATGCCCATGTATTACCCTTAGAGTTGTGGGAGCTCCAAACCAGACTCATTCACTTTGTTATTGCCTGCTTTGATGGCCTCTAAGATTTTCTTGCTGCCAGAAGGAAAGAAAGACCAATGGGCAGACATTAAACTTTCCAGATAGGGAAGATTCTGGGGATTCTCTACTTATGCCAGATTCCAAGCCAGAAATAAAAGCCAACAAACACTTTTGTCCTCATGAAACACCTTTTGTCAAAGATTCCCCCTTCTTACACAAGCGCCCAGAAATAATTGTTCAGTTTATAGGTTTTATAAATGACATGGAGCAGTTTCAGATAAAATAATCTGGGTAGAATCAATTCATTTAAAAAATAAACATACATCACATAAATATGTACCTTCCTAAAAGCCTAGGAATTTTATTATTTTAGCATGTATCTTAAAGTTACATTTTGCACAGGAACTAACCTGTGCTATTAACTATTCCTTCAAGGAATGTTAGAGTGGAAAGAACACTTTCTCTAGAATCATATAAGTTCAAATCCCATCTCTGATGCAGAATATTTCTGTGACTTTGTCAAGGCACTTAACCTTTATGGGCCTCAGTTTCCTCATCTGCAAAATGAAGGAAGTGGGCTCTATGACCTTTGATGTCCCTTCCAGTTTTAGTTCTTTTATCCGATGAATCCAGTGCCTCTTCCTTCTTCTACCCCATCCCACTCGAACTCCAACACATCCCACATCTGATCAGTAATTTTTGTGTCTGTGCTTAAGAGGGAAAAAAGGCATCCTTCAGCCCCATTTAATATAAATGTCTGAGAACTCCCATGGCATATCAAGTGGCTTTGACCTCCCTAACCTCCAGATGAAGAAGCTTTTGTCAGAAGGAAGATTAGAGGATGTGAGACAATGGCTGTGCAGATGGTTATGTGTTGACAGATTCAGAAGTGACCATATTTTTTCCAGTGAATTTCAAGTGATGGTGTGATCTGTGTGAATCTGACCTCTTCTTATAAGGTACATATTTACATAAATTGAGAATTATAGATCCTGACAGATTTTACAATATTTATAGCTTTCCAGAAAAAGCCTCCATGGGTTTGCACAACTTCACATTTGACTTCCTAGGTGTGTTTAAGAGAGCTTAAATAATAATAAAGTGGGTGATTTATTCCTCCTGGAATGGAATCTTATCCCCTCCCCTTGTTTTATTTTGAAGAGGATACCTATAAATAGTAATAAGGAAAGGAGAACTGGGAATACCACGCTGAAATTTGAGACAGAGGTGCTGAATCATTCCCTCGGCCACCAATGGCTTGAATGTATTCATTCTTAACACTGGCATTTTCCCCTCCAAATAACATGTCCCTTTCTCAACACTGCTCCACATCAATAATATTGGACTCTCCTAGACATGTTGCCAGTTTTAGGATTTAGATGTATTTATCTAAGCAGGAAGGAGGGAGTTGCCTCCAGGGAGGCCAGAGAAAAGGCTTTCAGTGTTCTTCCATTCCACAGGGGTAAGCTTGTGACTAAGTGCCAATGTCCAAGGTGTAAATTAATTATTGGAGCCCCAACTCATCACCCTGCCATGATGATGGAAATGCTTCCATTCCTGTGATGGAGAGGAAACATAATTGTGATTCTAAGAGAAAGAGAAAAGAACAATAACACAGAGTGGGTTTTCCTTTCTATCCATATTTATAATTAACTAGTGGAGTATAGGAGAGTAATGGGACACTAGACACATTAATGGGTAGTAGCTGACTTTAAATTATGCCATTTATTTCCTTTAAAGAAAAAAACACCACCAACAAAGCAAAACTGGAAGCCACCAAGTTATTGGCTATTAATCTGTTGATGAAAGCTAAGAACAGTCGTTCAGTACATTGAGGCTTGCTAGGGTGTACCAACCAAATGTGATACCCTGCCTTTTGGTCAATCCAGGATGAAGTGGCTTTTATAAGAAGGGAGTGTACAAGTTAGTGCATCAGTAAGAATGTTGAATAATTTACTTTCGCCTTGCCGTAGAGGACAGGCAGGCAGCTGGATATTCTTATCATTGCTAATATTTTTCTCTCAGATAAAAGCTCTGATGTCCAGCCTACTTCAGCAGCCTTCTAGACTGGGATGCAGCCTGGTCAATGGAAAGGACACTCATTTGGGATTCAGAGGCCCTATCCCTGTCCCTTACTACCTGGGTGATTCTGAGCCTTCTCGAGGGTTCAGTTTACTCACCCATTGTCTAAATGGCTTCTAAATTCTCTTCTATCTCTAAAATAGTGATCCCATGATCAGAAACCCAATGATGTGGTGGATCCCTGATAAATGGGAGCAAGTTAAAGTCTTTTCTAACTTAATTTGAGGCAGATACCTCGATCAAACCCCAGAGTTTGTAATAGACTTCATTCCAAGTGATTTAGTGGTGAATAAAGTAAATGTTTTAAAAGAGAACATTACTTCCATAAAAATTGGAAGCCCATTAAGAATAATAGATTTGAGGCAAGGGGGTCAGAAATAAGAAAAGAGCATTGGGAGCCTTGCCTCATAAACAGCACACAGGTATTTAGTGCATTACTAATTTTAAAATAGTTGCCTACAAAGTGACATTCTCTCATTCTCTCTCTCTCTCTCTCTCTCTCTCTCTCTCTCTCTCCATATGTGTATATGACATATGTGTATATATCTATCTCTATCTCTTTCCCTCCCCCTTTCTCTAATGAACTGTGGTCTTGCAGAATTTACATGAGGCAGAAAGAACTGTTCCTTGCCTTGTGATAGTATCTTTCTGAAAGTAATCAGAGCTATCCAACCATTAGACGTCCAGTTGTTCACTGTCTTGATGCTCCTGTGACCAAATTATGAGTCAAACACATTTGGGATGAATGAGCTGTTTTCTTCCCTTCAACCTTCCAGAATGGGAAAAAAAAGCAAGGAAATTGTGGTCTGTCCATTTTTTTTCTTAATAAAGAGGAGGGCAATTAAAGGCACTCAACTGCAAACGTTTTTTTTTTTTTTCCTTCTTTTAATTTTTTCTTTTTTTTTTATGGTAGGCTTGCTCAGCAACAATAGACCAGCAGTGCTTATATCAAAGCCATGTTATGTTGTGCTCTACTCCCCATGACCCCCTGGTAAAGCTATTTTGTTCTTCTTTCATAGGGCAACCCCTACATGTGCAATAATGAATGTGATGCAAGTACCCCTGAGCTGGCACATCCCCCTGAGCTGATGTTTGATTTTGAAGGAAGACATCCCTCCACATTTTGGCAGTCTGCTACTTGGAAGGAGTACCCCAAGCCTCTCCAGGTTAACATTACTCTGTCTTGGAGCAAAACCATTGAACTCACAGATAACATAGTTATAACCTTTGAATCTGGGCGTCCAGACCAAATGATCCTGGAGAAATCGCTTGATTATGGACGGACATGGCAGCCCTACCAGTATTATGCCACAGACTGCTTAGATGCTTTCCACATGGATCCTAAATCCGTGAAGGACCTATCGCAACACACAATATTAGAAATCATTTGCACAGAAGAGTACTCCACGGGGTACATGACAAATAGCAAAATAATCCACTTTGAAATCAAAGATAGGTTTGCATTTTTTGCCGGACCCCGGCTTCGCAACATGGCTTCCCTGTATGGACAGCTGGATACCACCAAGAAACTCAAAGATTTCTTTACCATCACAGACCTGAGGATAAGACTACTGAGGCCAGCCACTGGGGAAATATTTGTAGATGAGCAACACCTGGCCCGCTACTTTTATGCCATCTCAGACATAAAGGTATATGGAAGGTAAGAGAATAACTGACTTCAATGGGTCTGTCTCTTCCAGATAGGATGGCGTTGTACTCATGCCGCAACCAATGACAGTGATCAATTTCCTCCGAAATGTTTTCCTAGCTGCCTCAAAGTTAGTTTCTGAATGCATTTAAGACACTTCTAATTCAGCAAGACTATTTAAACCAAATCCTTCAATCACTAAGCTTGACAGATTTTCAGAGCTTTTAAAACAGGACAAAGAAACACACACATATGGAGAGACTATCTCACAAAAGACAAAGGATCTTCCTATGTCAGGAGATTGTTTAGACATTTAAGGCAGTAAAGACCAGGAAATGGGGCCAATTAGTCTACAATGGAACTACAATGCTTAAAATAAAGATCTTGCTGGTGTCTTGGATGGTAGGCAGATATTTAGCATACAAGGTCTGTTTTTAAGTCAGGAAATAATGCATAAGAAAGTATCATGCATTTTTCTCATTCTGTGCCCTTATTTCTTTTTTCATATGTATTGAAAACACAGGAAAAAAGAATAACTTTTCCTCATAAATTGAGTAAAAACCATATAGGAAAAGGGAATGTGTTTATTATGTAAGGAATGGATCTTGTAATTCTCTGGTTTAATTGTGCCATTTTCTTGGTCTATTTCTAAGGTTTTTTAACATTGCATTGAATTTTATATACGTCCTCTCTTATAGGAGAAATTTAAGGGTACTGAATAGATCACAGACTGAGCAGACGTGACTTCTTCCTAGTTATTTTTTTTTTTTACTTTACTTTAAGGGAGATTTTTTTTTTAATAAATCTTTTGAGAGTCAACCAAGTAATCCATCTATAATAGGAGCCCAAAAATTTTGGTCAAAGAAGCTTAACAACAACAACAATTATTAGAGCCAGGACTACCCACCAAAGAGATTCCTTATTTATTTGTTTGTTTTTGTTTATTTGTTTATTCCTCCATTTATTTATTTGCTTTTGTTTAGAATGCCAGCTAAACAAGGGCAAAAGCATGAGGTAGGTATAGCTAGGGAAATGAAGAGCAGAGTCAAGGTATGGAAATACAAAAGAAAAAAAAATGGATCCAGGGATCCAGGTTGTGATGGGTACGTACCTGTGATCCGGGCTATCAGGGAAGCTGTGAAACTGGAAGATCACTTGAGTCTGGGAGTCTTGAGTTAGTGTTTAGCTAAGTGGATTGGGTGTTGGAACTAAGTGTGGCAATTATATGGGGAACCCCTAGGAGTGGGGAGTTACCAGGCTACCTAAGAAGAAGTGAACCTACCCGGGTCAGAAACAGAGCAGGTCATAGCTATAATAGTAGTGCCAATCAGTAGTGGCATCCGGCCCTTCTTTTATCACTTAATGTACTTTCAAATTGAGTGAGATAAGGAGACCCAGTCTCAAATGCAAAAGGAGAAAAAAAATAAGAAAAAAATAAAGGAAACTTTTAAAGGCAAAAAAAAAATGTATTACTTTAAATATTAGATCACCGTGTGCAAACTACAACTCCCTGCCGTCTGCTTTAGTACAGGCCTCAAACTAAGATTTTTAAAACTGTTTGTCAGTAAAGTTTTATTATATTTAATAATGTAAAAATCATTCTTAGCTTTCTTGTCCTTATAAAAACAGATGGAGGACCAGATTTGCCCCTTGAGCTATAGTTTATTAATACCTGTATTAGAGAAAGAATAAAGTTAGGCAAAAAAAATGTATTCATATATATTACTTTTATCAAGCAATTGAAACAGGGGCCATTAAGTACAGTAGAAGGAACACTGACTCCGGAGTCAGAGGAACTGGGTTCAAATCCCTCCTCTGTTGATTATTATTATATGATATATTATCCTGTTAACTTAGGAAACTCATTTAACCTTTCTGGGCCTCAGTTTCCTCATCTGTAAAAGGAGGAGTTTTGATAAGATTGCCTCTATGGTCCCTTCCAAGTTTAGATCTTTGAAGTTTTGTTTTGTTTTGTTTTGTTTTGTTTTGTTTTGTTTTGTTTTGTTT